TATATATATAATTATAATAAAGTTGCAATAAATTAAGTTAATATATAATTATATATACAGTACCTAATTTATATATAATTAATATATAATTATATGTACAGTACCTAATTTATATATAATTTATATATAATACTGTACAGACGATAGTAATCTCTCCGTAGCGTGGCACTTGACGGCGGAAAATAGTTCGGCTGCCCGATGACGTTTTACGTAATTTAGGAGGTTTTTTTTACCGTTTTTTACGGATACCGTCGCAATTTTTTCGCAGTTTTATAGGAATCGTAATTATAAAAACCCGTTTTATAGGGGGTCTACTGTAAACCAGCAAGGAGTTGCTCAATTTTCCGGCAACATTTATAATTTTGATGGTCACTGTTGTCATATTTTATTAGAAAACTTTTTATATTTTTAACTATTATAAAATGATAAAATGGCAAAAAGTTTAATTTAGAAGATAGGAACGAATTTTATAAAAATTTGTTAATGCTAATAACGTAAAAAATCGTCATTAAGTCTGACCCTACTGGAGATACACACGACTCCCATTATCTCCCAACCTCTTTCACATTTAATCACGCAAATTTAACAGCATGGATCCCCTAATACGCAAATTTCCTTGCGAAATTTCAGAAAATTTTAACAAAAAGCACAGGAGTGATTTTTCTAGATTTTTTCTTTGTTAGTTAGTTAAAGCTTAAAAGAGAGAGAAAAAATTATCCCTTCCCCTACACACACACACGCTAACATTCATTCATACAGAAATTACCCCCGAACACTTTTGCATTTCTCGATGTTTCAAGGTTTCCTAAGTCCGAAAGTAGAAATCTTGGGGGAGGTTCATTTTTTGAGCCATCGCTACACTTTCTGTCTGTCATATATAACAGCCAGAAAAGTAATAATTTAAAAAGCTTAATTTTTTCATAGAAACTTAAAGTAAATATAATCCAGACATCGCAACTTCCTCTAATCCAACAGAAGGTGGCATTGATATCGATCAACTGTTCAAATCATTCATCTTGAAAGAGAATTCGATAATGGCCTTTGGTACTATACTTACGCTTGTATTATACGGGGAAGTTACATTCATTTGTCTGTTTAGTTATAATTTTTATAGTAACGAACAACAAACTGTCGAAAAATGAAGACGCTTAAGAATTAGAGGTAATATTTCATTTCATACTTTATTATTAACGTCATTAAATTTCTGGCTGCCTTCAAAAATATTGAAGTTACTGAAAGACTAACGTGTTCCGTCGTATGACGTTCAAGCTATTAATACATTAACTATCACGTGACATGACGATTTGTCATTACTTTTAAGTAAACTTTTAACTAAACCAAGCTTAATGATTTAAAAATACAATATTTATGACATAATGTCCCATTTTACCTTTTCGGCTGTTATGTATATGCTTAAAAAAGAAAAGTATTGGAATCGTGTCAAATTTGACCTTGCGCATTTCGAGACCTTTTGTGTATATACCGCAGATACAAATTTTGTTTACTTTCTTCTACTTCTTTGTCTACATTATGAGGAGAGAAGATCTAGAGAAAGACCCAGAGAGATGTAAATGGAGAAGATAGCTGAAGACCTAGCATCACTAGATCTTATCTCATAATATTCTGTAATATTAATTTGGTTTTCTATTTTCGTTCTTTCACTTGTTATGTGCAAAACATCTCAGTGTAATTCCTTTTATTTTCTCCACCGAAATTCCATTCCTGTTCTTTTCCTTGTTTCTTCATTTCTTATTCTGTCTTACTCAGCATATATAGTATAATCGATGAAAGACCTCCTTACATTTCAATGGCCTGATCTGGCTGGTGGCTCTATCAGATCAAATTTCTGATAGAAGCCACCAGCTCGTAGTATTGTTCTACTTGTTTCTTTGCTTGACACTCTGTCCTTTGATATTTCTGTTCACAGGTATCTAAATCTGTCAACATCCTCTAATAATTTTTAGAGGATGTTGACATTAATTAATCTATTCAGTTTAATTTTCCCTCTCCTTTTCGGAGTTCTTGCTTTCTTGAGATTTTGTTTATATAAGATGACTGTTTGTTTCTCTCTCTGCCCTTAGCTTTTTGTCCATCTGCATCAAATTTTTCATACTTATTCTTTGGGATCCCGATGAAAATATAGACTACCACGAAAACCTATGCACCTTATCTCTTCCCTGATTAACGAAAATTTAGATATAAACAACAGTGGTGTGCACCACTATTGCTTATATCTAAATTTCCGTTAATTAACAACAGGGGTGTGAAATCAAGGAAAGATGAGGGAGTTCAGTTTTTCCAGTTAGGTGTCCAGAAACAGTTTTCCCTTAAAGTTGCAGCATCCGCAATAATTTGGTTGAACATTAGATTATCTTTGAGCAGTAACAGCGAAAAAAGTTCGAGGCACAAAGTAAGGCTCGAAGCTTTTTTCTGCGACGATGTTTATTTTTCCGATTTATGATCATGGTGACAACACTTCATCCAAAATTTCCTGTAGTTGTAGTCTGAGTAATATGCATTTTATTCAGATATTGAGTGCTACTGTCAAATCTGGTTTCACTATTCTATGCTACAACTTTCAGAAATTTTATTTATTTAGAAATTTTGCTGAGCTTTACTTTTTCAACTTCGATTCATCAGTTATTTTTAATGAAATACATGTAGCCTATTAAACTATGAAGTTTCGTATCTAATGCTATAATGTAAAGCAATAACGAATATTTGTGATACGACAAATAAAAGTACAAACAACATGTGTAGTTACGTAAGTAACATATTATCGAAAAATCTTTCTGAATTTCATTAAAAACTCTTTAACTTAACAAAAAAGTAAAAAAATAGAATTTACATACCAACGGGATTGTTATCCAAAAATGATATCGGAGTTCGAATGATACAACGAAACATATTGTTGTGCAGCTTGAAAGAAGCAGTTGTAAAAAATTTGAATAACAATAATCCAAAAGTTAAAGTCGTAAGAAATACGGCACATATCAATCCGACGTAAACATACATGTTGAATTCTTCACTGTGATAAAAATTTTTGTCTTCAATGTTGTGAAAAATACTTGTGTTATATGTAATATTTTCGAAATTCTCTATGCTGCTGCTATAGATTCTAATATCTTGCAACCTGAAAATTAAAAATAAAATAATAGTTACACGTTGTAATTTTTCTATTTCTTTAGTTAACAGAATGAAATACAATTAAATTAATTAAGTGCATTATAAAAAAATACATATAAACGATGTTGACATCTACCGAATGATGACCTATTTCAAAACTTCTTTCACCAATATTTAGAATAGATCTTCAGGGTGGACATAGGCTTTATATTATTCCGTTAAACATTCATATAAATTAAAAGATATCATCTAGGTAAGCGTTATATTTCTGGTGTCAGCGGGTGGCAAGGGGCAAGACGTGTACGTATACGAGATAAGCAATCGCGCGGTGCAATTTCGTGGTCGGCAAGATACGCAGTGCACGTGTCCGAAGTTGTATATTATATAGATGTCGAAATTCGCCCCCTTCGAGGAGGAGAGAGACAAAATTAAGGCTTACTGTGAAGAACTCGGCTTCTATTATACTGTTTTAGATGCTTTTTTTTGCATTTTTGATTGCATTTTAATAGGGTACGTCACACTAAGAAGGGATTTTTCGAAATTCCCTCCCGCGGGATGTTATACATTTATAATAGATACATTTTGAGCCACAGCAAATCAGATATACTCTTTACCTTAAGGTCTAGGTCAAAGGTCAAGATTATTTTAAGGTTAAAATTAAAAGCTTTTTCTAATGGTAAACCATAGTTTTTATTACTGGAATAGACAGGGAGGTAAAATTTACATTTACATGTAAAGACTGGGAAATTTCACAATCAGCCATGACCTTGAGTACTCCAAATCTGACCTCTGAAGGATATCTCAAGCTCGATAATTTTAAGCGTCGCTCAATAAATGCATCGAAGTGAAAAAGCATCATTTTGAACATTTGTTATAAAATTTTCCTTCAAAACCATTATCTCAAACAATGGTGAAAATAAAGTGACTCACCAAAAACAAGCACCCGGATAGTAAGAAGCAAGGGGACTCAGTAAAAGTAAGCACCTCAAAAAAGTGCAGAAAACTACTATGTTCACATCGTTACTCCTGGGTAGGACTAAAAGTAGTGAATGCTTTTAAAGGTCAAAGTAATAAGGTCGGGGAAAAAATGTAAATTTTTCTTTCCTATCTATTCCAGTAATAAAAAGTATGGTTTTCCATTAGAAAAAGCTTTTAATTTTAACCTTAAAATAATCTTGACCTTTGACCTAGACCTTAAGGTAAAAGGTATATCCGATTGTGAAATCTTCCACTCTCTCAATTGCCAGGGTCAAAAACTCCTATTGAAAATAAACAGACTTGACCTTCAAGGTCATTTGAAGGTCAAGTCTGTCACCAATTGATTGCCCCTTCAAAACCCTACAAGTTTTGTGTAAACATTTTTCCAGAATAATGAGATCCAATTAAGTTATTTCATTTTCTCAAGATAAAAATCTCACCCTGTATAAATTTAAAAATTTTATGCTGCCGTTTATTTTGAATGTCAAATGATAATGTGTGCATGGCAATATTTAGAGATACAAAAAATATATTTATTGCAACTCACAACATTTCTTTATTCATTATACCTGAAACTTGTTATACTGAATTGATTGTGGCTTACATGATATAACGTTATTTTCATTAAACATTTTATATAAAAACTCAATTTACGTGTTAAAGTATATATTAATTATAATAATATCATACCATTTGATTAGCCAATAGTCGCTGGCACTTGTAAGGGATTGAGCTATAATTAGCGTGGATAAAATAACAATCTTGAAGAAAAGTCCTGCTCCAGCATTGAAGTGTGATTTATAAACTGAAATCCCTGGTTTCTTAACTTCATTATCCTGTGGTGTTTGGTTATTTTTGGCTTCCTACAGAAAATAATGTTTAAAAAATATATAAATTATTCTTTGAATTATCATTAAATCTGAAATAAATATTTTAATATGTCCTTCCAAATTATAAGAACCTAAGAGATAATGTCGTAATATGAATGCAAATTAAATGTGTTATTAAGTGTTATGACTTTGTGTGCTTAACTTATAGATTTTATACTTTAATTGCCTACCAGAAAATTTAAAAAGTAATAGATAGCAAAATAAATTTAACACCAAAAAGAATAAACACGACTAAAAATATCTTTGTTATAGAAATGATGAAAAATAGGAAATAACAGAGGAAAAAGGTGTAGTGCATTCGTTTGATTGCAGTAGTAAAGAAAAGAAAACAGATATTGGGGAAACAAAAAATAATGAAAAACACGAATAAAAGAACACATCCGCGCCATAAAAAGTAATTATGCAAATTCAGTAGTAGCTGAACATTGTAATACAACAGGATGCAAAATAGATATGAATAAAATACCATAAAAATAAAGAAAAACGAAAGAAATAATTTTAAAAGGAAATTAGATGAACACATCCACATAGCTAGACAAAAAATCAAATGAATAACAATATAGGAAAGAAATATACCAATCATAGAACAGATTCATCCACAGAGGAAAGGTGGGGTAAAAGTATAAAAAGAGAAATAACCTCAGGATAAGTCAATGTTCAAGTGATAGAGGAAGAACAATATTGTAAGTTTTTAAAGATAAGGTTTAAACCAATTTTTATCAATATAATTGATTTCTATTGTTTTAAAGACAGGAATATGATTGGTTTGGTGATAGTAATTATTATAAATAATAATGTACTTAAAGATGTATTTATGAACTATAAGAATGTAAGTTCTATTTTGTTTTGCTTCATTTTCAGAAATTTTTTATGATTATTTTATAATTTTTATAATAATTTTTACAATTGTTTTTAGAGAACGTCAGTCGTAAACCTGCTGATGAGGAACCAACAAATCCGAAAAACAATGACATCGTATATCATGTGTTCAGATGGAAAATAAAGACTGTTTATTCTGATTTGTTCTTTTAATTTGCAGAACAGTCCTACAGTATAATAAGTCCTAGTAATAAATAAGTCCTAGTAGATAGTTAAAGTGTAAAAACTAGATGTGTTATTCTTACTTCTTACACACTAACAAAAAAAATTACAGTAGAGCCACGATTATCCGACCCTCGGTTAACCGACCGTCCTAGTCGGCAAATTTCAAATGTCCGCTAGTGATGTGGCGCTACAGTATTTGGCTATGTCTTGGTTACTTTAATATTATTTTTACGTGTTTTAGCTGGCAACACTCATTCGACCATGAAAGGGAGCCAGTATTTAAACGAGGCTTAATTTTCTAATTTTTAACGATACAATAGCGACGATTATCATTTTTTAAAAATTTTTGTTAGGCTTAACATCGATAAAAATTCAACGCGAAGTAGGTTAATAGCGATATACTAATTACATGGGATATACTAATATACTATACTAATAATATATTTTTTCATATTTTTCGGTTATCCGTTTTTTCAGTTATCCGACCAACTCCAGTCTCCAATTGAGTCGGATAATCGATACTCTACTGTATATGCTCTCCAGCTAAAATCAGCAGTGTCTTACCCCCGTACAGCATGTATTTCATTTAACAATGAAGTCGTTCCGATCATCTATCGAACACTTTACGGGGAAAAGTTTTGAATTGTAATAACGTGACTTTCGGTTGGCATCGGAAGTTCGTATATGCACGCCTTCTGGGACGTCCTGTCCGGAAGGCGTGCATATCTGGTCTCATCTTTCATCTATCTAACCCCCGTTCTTGAGATTAAAAAATGACAGTCAGTCGGACAGCCGTACAGATGGACGAGAGTGGCAATTTATAGGTATACAATTTTTTCGAATTGTCGTCCAATTTGTATAGTATTGGTTAACATTTAAAATGATAGATCATAGTATAAAGTTAGGATTAGTCAACCAAAAAGTTTATAAATTGGTTACAGCAATTTACTCTTATAGTCAAATAAGTATTTCTTATAATTAGAAATTCGTTACGTACAGAATTTGGGAAAATCAATCCTAGAAATGAAAACTGCTTAACATTTGTTATTCTACTGTAACATTTTTAGCTGAAATAATTGTTTAATTTAATTAAGAAAATTCTTACCGCATCACGGTGATTACTGTCTTCAATGATATCATTAATATCAGATTGACGACTCCCAATTATTTCATCATCATCATTGAAAATCGCAGTCTCTAAATTCATGATGTTTTCAGCGATTTCTTCCTTTGGTAATATTCCTGCAAGTATTTCTAAATTTTCCATATCATTGATTTTTCCAATGAATTCACATTTCCCCTGAAATATATTAATCGGGTATATAAATACAATTGCTTGTATGATTTTAATATATAAAAATATAAACGTAATGAAAATGTATACAAATGCACATTTGTGTTCAAAAAATTACAATGTGTTTAACAATTTTTACCGAATTTTCCGGTAATAAACATTTAATTATTGGTCTTTTACAAATACATTTTTGAGGTGATACATTTTCTTTCTATGTATGACAGTAACTGTTTCGAACTAACCAGTTTCCAGTTGATATAAATCAATAAACACCAGTACTTTGTTACAGATTTGTGCTTGATCCACAGACTGACCTGAAACAGTGTTTCAAATTTTCATCACTCATCTACACTGAAATAACTGCCATTCTCCAAAAACTTTTACGAATAAAATCTTCTTCGGTGGATAGCCTATATATTGTCAACATACACGATATTATCACACAATGCCCTTATATATGTTTTGTGGAACTTTATTCAATCGATCGAATCAAATTCATAACTTTTATGTTATCTTGAACTTTATAGTGTTAAGACTGGTGCGTTGTTAAAATATATTATATTCTTGTTATTACCGTAAAAATAATTTTAAAAACAAAGTAATAAACAATGAAGATATTCACCTTGTTTAACGCTAAAATTTTACTTGCACAGTTTAAAAACTGTACTTGATGCGTAACAAGAATGCAGATCTTGTCTTTTAAATATTCCATTATACATCTGAAATAAATATGACGTTAAAATGTATTAAAATGCACAAGAAGAATGATTTAAAACACTTACTTTTCGAATATATGTTTCGCCACCGGAACATCAACGGCACTCAGTGGATCATCGAGAAGAAAAATATCGGCATCGAGATATAGCGCTCTGGAAAATATAAAAATATAACATCGTCATAAATAAACAAAAAACCAGGCACACAGTATATGAAACTTATATTTATTTTTATAGATTTTTGTCTCCGTGATAAGTGTTTTATAATTTTTTTCACCCATTTTCATTCTACACCTACGCGAGGCTACGTAAGAATTGCGAAAATTTATCGTCTTCTACAAAAATAAATACTGTATATATATACTAGCAGGTGGGCCCGGCGTTGCTCGGGCAAAAGTAACGATAACTAAGATAAAGATTATTACGTTACAGTCAACTTTACCCGTTTTCACAGAATGCAAGAATTGGGTCCCCTTGTTTCCAGACTAATTAGAGAACTTTTAGATTGTTCTAAAAATATGTTCGATTTCCCGCAAAAACGAAAAAACTGCATCTGCGCCTGTAAATCTTGCACGTCGCTTTCTCTTAACAATTCCACTGTTACGTAACACTTCCATTGTTGATGGAAGTGTTAAGCCTTAATCCTGTCTTTCTCCCCCCGGGAGGAATTTCGAAAAATCCCTTCTTAGTGTGCGTTTTCGTGACGTACCCTATCTATGTACCAAATTTCAACTTTCAACTCCTAACCGTTTGGGNATTGTTGATGGAAGTGTTAAGCCTTAATCCTGTCTTTCTCCCCCCGGGAGGAATTTCGAAAAATCCCTTCTTAGTGTGCGTTTTCGTGACGTACCCTATCTATGTACCAAATTTCAACTTTCAACTCCTAACCGTTTGGGCTCTGCACTTATTATTATTATCATCAACCCGTCTCGATTATATTATGGATAAGCCTGAGTTAACATTTATTATTACAGTATATGTGTCTTGTTATTCCTATTACAAGTCTACTTTTATATTTGCACAACTAGAAACATAATTTTAGGTAAGACCTGTCTTACCTTGCTAGATTAATTCTCGCCTTCTGCCCACCGCTCATTATCACTCCTCTTTCTCCTACAATTGTGAAATCTCCTTTAGGAAATAAGCTAATATCCTAAAAATAGTAAACATAAAAATACAAGATAATTATGTTCAACCTAATGTGCATTGATAACTTTAATAAAACTAAACACAACTGTAGATTTCTAAAAGTATTTGACTTATGAAAGAGATTTTTTTTTTCGAAAACTTTGTTTTTCGTAAAAAAACATTATGTTGGCAATAACATTTAATTTCGTTATGCCTCCTATAATGGTTTTTTCTAAAGACCGAGACTATAAAATAAACTTTTTTATTTAACTTTTTTAATTAAAACGTTTATTTCAGATGTGATTTCGTGTAGAAACACAGCAAGGAATCCAAAGAATTGGTATTAAAAGTAGAAATCATCTTACCTTTTCTAGAGCCGTTATATGCAAGACTTTTGTATATTTGTCTTCTTGATATTCTTCTCCAAACAAGATATTTTCTCTGATAGTTGCGTTGAACACCCAAGCTTCTTGAGAAGCATACGAGATCTTTCCTTTCACGGACACTTTACCGGAAGTAATTGGAATCTCTCCCAACACGGACATTAATAAAGACGTCTGACGAAATTAATATCATTTTATAATTTGATACGAAATGTTTTGCGTAAATAATATAAATACATAAACATTTTAAAAGTGTTTACGTATCAATTATTATAAAAATATATTTCAATTATTAATTGCTTTTTTTGTAAATCGCATATAATGTAAAGATGTGATACAAGATATTACATCAATTCAGAACGGAAACTCTCATATCGAATTCATTAATTTCTGAGATTTTGTCTGTAGACAAACTTTTTGATAGAAGTGTACAATAATTAAATCATAATGGAAGTTAAATTATACGTGCGGAATATTGTTATGGCAATGATAGAGGTGTTGGTAAATAAAGTATTGATCTATGTTAAAAGTAATCTGCGATAAATGTATTGAAACGGGAAAATGATTGTAGAGTTAAACATTCTACTATAACGATTAATATGAGTAGATCAAATACAGTTTTTAATAATTTTACAGTTCTGTATTTCAAAAATTATTTGTTGATAGCAACAATTTACGTTCTTAATACCTCGTGAAAGCAGAAAATAGACATTTTAAAATCAATCGTTATAATCTTACACAATTGAAATTATGCAATAAGAATGACATTCTTTTTTGTAATGGATAAATTAAAATAACAATTTAAAAGCAAAAAGGAAAGCAATAAGATATTATTGTGTTAATAATTTTAGATAGATGTTCATGTTTAGATTGGATATAGTAAATGAGCACTGCCAATGATTATATATGTCAGTTATTTACACTTGTTATCAGTCAGTTCGTTTTATGTCAACAATTGATGTAACAATAGTGTCTGTAACAGATCATGCACACAACAAGAAATACAATATATTATTGTCTAACAATTTTTTTTTGATACTTGATATAAATAACATCTGCCATTCTGTCTGACAACTACACAAAATGTATTTTTTCATGATGTGAAATTGAATCAAAATAAAATAAAAAATAGATGAAATAATTTCAAACAAGATATTCATGTATAAGAATTTGAAAATTAATTTTACATTAAATAGATAAATAATTTTCTTAATTAATTTTTGTTATTTTATAAACAATATTTAAATCACTAAGCACAAGAACTAATTTAAAATATAATATTTACCTTCCCTGATCCAACCGGACCTACAACACTTAGTAACTCTCCAGGATGTATGTTTAAAGATATTCCATTCAATGTTGATTCGGTTCCCTTCAAAAAACAAAGTTACCAAATGATACACAACTCATATTAAACGTTATAAATCAAAATTAATAATATACAATAAATATACAGTATTCGTGATAATGCTAATTTTATACACTTTAAAATAAAAGTTGATAAATATTATAAATATTTTAACTTAATTACTGCTAGTTGTTCTTAAAAATGAATCATATGTACGCATCTTATTTGAATTGCGTGTGCAATAACATTTCAATAATCCGACTTCCTCTGAAATGTAGTTAATAAACCGGAATTTCACAAATCACAATTTCATGTGTCTTATCTCGTGTTACGTGAGTAGATACGCGAATACGTTTAGATTATCACGTGGTAGCAATTGATTCGGTGAGCCCATTTGCTGATTCAGTTTGTGATACATGCCACTGCCAAGACATTTGTGCTGTTGCCAGTGCTAGACAAAAATATAAGTTCGAAGAATATTTTTAGACTGTGAATGAATAAATTGTTTAAATGAAATGCTAATGTGCAAAAATAATCAATTATATTTATTATTTTAGTATGTTAATTAGTTTAATTAATACTCATAAATTATTTGAAAGCAGAATATTAAAAAAAATCAAAATTTCACAGAGACAAAATTTGTTTAAAAATAAATTAACGTCTTAATTTAAGAAATTTTATGTAACCTCTTTGACGACGAAAAACTTCGTACTTGCTATCGGGACTTGACTCAATTAATTTAATCAGCACCTCATCTCGTCCCCCAAATTTTTAATCGCTCTTTGAGGTCTGCATCTGTTGACAATTGTCCCCTATCTTTGTAATTGAACCCAAGAAGCTCCCACATATTCACTATTGGAATTAGATGTGTGACTTTGCAGACCAGAAAAACTTCAATATTATTTTTAGAAAACCATTGTTTCATCACTTATAAATGGTGGTAGGATGAAGGCATCCTGCTGAAATATGAAATTTTCACCCCATGAAAGTGACCACACTTACTAAGTTGATTTTCATCAGAATATAATAGGATTTATAGGTCATATGTCCAGAAACAAATTTAATATGAATCTTTCCTTGGGCTAATATGCAGTCCAAACCATTAATGAGCCACTACTTATTTCTTGACATTTTGAAGTCCTTTTTGGCTCTGAAGTCATGCCAATTCTTTGGACAACCATAAAGCTCATCAACGTTAAACATTCTTTCATATAAAAATTATATACCGATACTATATCATTGACGAGTTAAGCTTAGGATCTTTCTTCATACAAAAATGCTCCTTTGGATATACAGCGTATATCCAAAGGAGCATTTTTGTTTTTTATTTAATGGTATTTTTTAATTAGTTTTGTGTATTTAAGCGCATTTTGGACTGAAATCCTCGAGAATTAGCCAGAGTTGAAGAGTAAAGTCCAGCAGCACCCTTCATTTTACTTACTGACAACTTAGTTCGAGTTCCAAAAAAACAAATCTGTCATTTAAACGATTTATTCATTTACAGTTTAAAAATATTACTTGAACTTATACTTTTGTCTAGCATTGTATAAACATGACATGAATATGGATACCTAAAATGCACATGAAATGCTATTATAATCAGGTTAAATTATTTTCCACGTTCTGAAATAAAAAGTAAAGAAGGACATACTACGCATATCCGAATATAAATTCGGATAAACCAGTATTTTTGTGATACAGAGAATGACATTAACGTATTTTCTTAAGCTGACAAAAGTTCATGCGTACACAAATAGCAATATAGATTGCAGCATGCAACGTTACAAAATGTACAGCAAAGATTGCACCGTTTGTACTGTATTTAACTTATCGAATTTTATAACGCCAAACACTCCAGTTATGAGGCACGAAATGTTCTCAGGTCACGAATAATGAACTATAACTGTAATACAAGTGGAAAGAATTATAGCTATAACAGTTCTAATATTACAAATGAAATAATATGTGGTTATATACACGAAGTGGCATAACATTTAGTCTTTATTCCATTTATGCAATAGGTGAACTACTACACTAAATTTCATCGAATTTGATTTCAAAATGCCAGCTTCACACCTGACCTTAGGTTGGCAGAGTGCAGTTTAGTGAACTATTTTCACGAGTCTAAAATCTAAATAAAAGACCGATTCAAGTAGAACGTCTAGAAAATCAGGCTAGTAGTAGATCGCCCTCGCGTTATTCCATATAAATAAAACAAGTCAATGGCATTATTTCTCTTTATAACAACAAGAAAAAAACATTTCAAGTTGCAATATATGGAAATAGTTATGGTTTGTTCCATGTCTCAGAGACTGAGGGCTCCACCCCACTGTTCAAATATCGCCGGCCACGGCCACGGCCAGGAGGAATAAAATCGAAATTTCAATCCGTTGCGTGTTGCCTAGGTTTGAATTTTTGTCGATGCCTAACGAAAATTTTCCGTTTTTGAAAAAAAATAATCATGGCTATTGTATCGTCCGAAATTATCTTTTATTTTGCACAAACAAAATAAATATATTAATAAATGTAAAAACAAAACAAATTATATTTTGAAAGTTACTTTTAATATAAAATTATAACGACTAGCGCCATCTAGTTTCAAAAACGTTCGGATGCCAAAACGAGAAATCTGGGGTCAACCGGGCAAGGACAGAAGATTACGACCAGAGAGGTAAATGGGTTTTTTTCAAAGATTCGTTTGTCAAAATTCGATTTCGCAACATTCGCATCTCCCACTTCTCAACAAGCAACGCATGCGCAAATCTAGCACTAGCGCCTATTTGTAGAAACACGTGCGACTAAATATCTAGATGACACAACGCGCTGATTGGTCAGCTGAATGACGTCAACCCACCGAAGTATCGATTATATTTTGTGGTTGTCAGAACGAAATATAGGTAATCCACGTATAACACGGGAGTTATGTTCCAAAAAATTGCCGCATTATGCGAATCCATGTTATACGAAACAATGAACTAGTACGAAAAGAGGGGTTAGGTTCCAAAAATTAAAAACATGCAATTATATTTTCATAATTAAGATAAATATCTTTATTAAAATTTTCTTAAGCGATACATATTAATATAAATTAAACAATGTTTTCTTCGTCATCACTAAGCACTATTAACCGAGGGCATTTTCTTTTTAGCAAGATATCTCTGAGCATTTTTCTGCATTATCTTCAGCTACTCTACCTTTAGATTGCTTGCTTTTAATTAAAAGATCTTTATAAATTTCCTTATATAGTGCTAATTACTTATAAAGAATAAAGCAAGCATGGAACAAAAGGAAAACATCTGGCAACACAAAATCAGAAGCGTCGCGATCTGGCAACACTGAAACAAGTTTCGAGAAGGACCGCGTAAATGACATTTCTTTTGATGCTTAGAAAGTACCAAGACTATTAATACTGTTTACAACATTGACTGCAGGCAATGTTCTTATACAAACTATTGTTAACTTTTCCAGTCCAATAAATTCCGTGCTGCTATACTTGTATGGATTGCGTTCCACTTTTTCTTGATCTTCGGATCTGACCAGACCACACAATATCTGGTGTATCTAATATCGCCTAGTCGGTGAAAAGTAATCATCACTTCGTGGCACACTATTTGTCACTGTTTTCGTATTTTTATTACAGAAGGATAATGCATTGCCGTTACCATCCATCTGCCTACAGTATGTGGCCCGATGGTCGTTGTTTCTTTTGAATATGTTTATCTTCTTGTTGACAATGTGTCGCATTGTCTACAGAAGCATACAATAGTTACGGTAGATGGAGTATTTATTTTATGGTTACTGCCATATATTCTGAATATATTTCATAACCATTGAATACAGAAAGAAAATTTGGTAATTGTGTGAAAGAAGAAAGCCTGCAATACTAGAAGCGAGGCACCAACATCTTTTGCAATGGCTGTTCTTTGTATACAGTTATGTGACTGACTCTTGATCTGTCTATGGAGGATGACAACTTAGAGGGTTTTCTATGAAAAACTCTTCTACTTAGATTTATCAAAGCTCAGAAAACCCAGAAAGCTACACGTGGCCAGCCCGTTAGTGAAGCATGAATTCCCGACCAAACTCAGTGAATGTAATCCACTCGACCACTATTGAGTAGTTTGGTGACAGCTAAAAGACAGGCTTTAACGCTTCTTTGAAGAACGTATCAGATCAGTTGTGAATTTCCAAAGAGAAGCATGAAAAACTGGACAGAAAAATAAACAAAACATCTTTTAACAAAAAGAATAGAATTCCCTAGATGACTTTTCGATTTGTCTACTGTTTGTGATTGAAATGAAAGACCTGGGCAGCGAAAATAAAACCCATTTCGACAATATATTTCAAGATTCTTAGATTCCAAGCAGAAATGTTTGTGTAACCATTCTCTTAAATCAGTATATTTGTATAATTCCCATTACAATAAAGTTAATTGACGTAAAATTTGTTATCAAATTTGCATTTTTTGTAAATTGGAGAAAAGGTAAACAATTTCATAAAAATGTTTACGTTTTATTGTAAAGTTTTGATTTATTTGTTTCCTGCGGAGAACGTCTATATTTATTTAAAAAACAATAGCATGTCAACAAATATACATATTATATAAAATTGCATAGTCTTACATCGATTGCAACGCATGCAATATTCTGTAATATTAACATAATTTTGAATGTTCTGAAAAGTATGTAGAGTTACAAATGCTATGGCCATGAAATACAAACAGTTTAGCTTGTATGCAAAGTAGTTTGGGACTCTTCTTAAAAGAAGCAAGACCATAAAATATTTTCTTGGAATTGGAATGAATGGATATAATAAAGTAAAACACAAGGGCGATCTGCTAAGAGAGCAATGTGTTCGGAGATGCCTTTCTATGTAAAAAGAATATCCAATTTAGAAGTTACACACACGAAGAAATTCCGAAAAATCTCCATGTGGCCAAATTATCACTCGAGCGTGAACAGGATATGATCTACCATTGTATTGTGGTGTTATTCACTTAGCCACTCGTAGATAAAAATGGCACTTGTTTCAGTTCAAATTTTAACAGGCACTTGTTTCAGTTCAAATTTTAATTTAAACAACTGCTAACAATTTTATCATTTTAACAGATATAAATTCAAAAATAAAATTCAGTGACGATCACATCATTCTACATGAAGATGTATCATGAATTTTTAATTCATGATATACAGTATATTGTTTAAAATTATCGAATCAAACAAATTGTAAAAAATATCTTCATTGCAGAACTTATATTAAATTTGAATGTCTTACTTTTTTCCAAGCAGCTGTGACACTATTCATCCATATTTCACCTTCAGTTAAGTTTTCTACTTCTTCTACAGTTTTGTCTTCATTGTTATCTTTTTCTTGAAGGAGGAGAAAATCCTAAATTAAAATTTAAAAATGTTAATGTTAATGGACACGAACCGTATGAATTCTTAGGACAGTGAAAGAACGAATACAAGAACGAAAAAAGAAAAAAAAAACGAATTTTTCACTCTTGGAACTGCCATAGCGTAATTAAAATTTCAGCCAATTATTCTGAGGAATCTGAGATTGATCCTGAACATGCCACTCTCCAATAATCTTTTTATAAAAATGTTTATTTAAAAGAACCCATCATAAATTACCTTCTCCACCCAGTCGCTCACATTACGGGCTTGGACAAATTTATGATTGGCAGAAAATGTGCAGTGATTCGGCCTTCAGTTAGAAAATTCTAATGGATTATACCAGAGATACTGAAATCAGGATATTCCGATCGTAGTTTTCGAAAAATTATATTCAACTTGTTTTCTATTACTGGGCGCTAGTCAGTTACAAACGTATGCATACAAGTTGACATCGTTGTGTTACCTTCTTCTCACAGTATTGCTTTTTTATGAGAATTCTGTTTTCAAAAATTTACTCAAATCTTGAAAATTATCGATTCTTAATTTTAATTCGAATACGTTCTGAGAATACCGTTTTTAATAATGTGAAGTAACATCGATGGAAGCAATTTCATTTACAAGTGATATTATATTTTAGGCTTTATTGAGGTTAAATCTCATAATTTTTACCTAAAACCCTTTCCATTTCTGTGTTAAACAGGTTTCAAGATTATTGCAAACTTTAAAATAGAATATGATTTATAACGCAAATGTTTCCTATTTAGAAAGGTTTCTGATTTATTCAGATTTATTTAAGGATTGATTTCAATACAGTAGACCCCTATAAAACAGGTTCCTATAATTACGATTCCTATAAAACTGCAAAAAAATTGCGACGGTATCCGTAAAAAACGGTAAAAAACTCTTATAATTACATAAAACGTCATCGGGCAGCCGAAATATTTTCAGCCATCAAGTGCCACACTACTGAGAGATTACTATCGTCTGTACAGTATTATATATAAATTAGGTACTGTATATATAATTATATATTAACTTAATTTATTGTAACTTTATTATAATTATATATATATACTTTCTGCCGTCCAGCGCCACGCTACGGAGAGTTTAGGCGAGTAAGTTGAGTTTACTATCGTCTGTACAGTATTATATATAAATTAGGTACTGTATATATAATTATATATTAACTTAATTTATTGTAACTTTATTATAATTATATATATATACTTTCTGACGCGTAGCGCCACGCTACGGAAAGTTTGCGCTAACTATCGTCTGTACAGTATGTAAATTAGGTACCGTAAGTCTAATACAGTACTGTAATATTATACATTTCTTGTGAAAGAACATTTCTTATTCAACGGCGATTAAAATTATTTATATTAATGATGTCTCCAAAGTTCAGCAAAGTTTTCGCAGAAAAATAACTTATCAGAAATCGCGGCTGCAGTTTGCTGAGCTGTTCCGCAACGAAAACAAGCTTGAGCAATGGCGATGTCGAATGGTGCACACTCGGTAAGTAATCCTACAATTTTTTGTTTATAGCGTAGTTTATACGGATTATTCCCCCAAAAATATGCGTATTTTGGAAATGTTGAGTAGGATTAGTTTAGAATCGATTAATTTTATGGAAGAAAATCTTTCAATCAGCCGTAGTCCGTAAACTTCTCACTTGTCGGGCTGTGATTGGAAGGACTCGTAAGAAATCGGATTCCTAAAGAATGGAACGTATCTATGATCTTACAGGGGGGTCGACTGTATTTGAAATTCTCATCAATGTTAACATTCTCGAATAATTTATAAATTAGTATTGAGGTAATAAAGTTTGAAAATAAGAATTTTAAAACTGCTCCTTACCTGTATTCTCTTCAACGAAACCAAAATTTCTGCAGCAAAAGTAACTGCTTGACAAAATAGATTAACGATGCTGTTGAAGATGTATATGGAAAAAGTTATAGTGACGAATATAATTTGGGCATTTAGTTGTCCTCCATTTAAATAAAACATGAGATATGCGAGGAGAGTAAATAATTTCGATATAGGATACGCCAAAATAAACGATATTCCGTTTGCATATAAAAACATTCGAATTTTTTTCATTTCTTTCCTGAAAATACAAACAATTAAATAATATTAATTGTAGAACTTTAAAAATAATTGTATAAGACACATTAGCATATCAAAATTACAATAAAACCTGCGTAAACATAAACCGGATGATAGCGAATATATTTTTCAGTTTGGCAGTTTTATAAATGTCTGAAAAGGTAATTAGTTGTTAAGATTCAAACTTCTCTACTGACTGTTTATCCGAGATTAAACTGCTTTAAAAGTGAGACACTAAAGAATAACGAAATAAAATGAATTTACTTCACTTCAATGTTTTTATTGTTATAATGTATGTTGTAATTTTATGTTTTGAGCAGGTTTTCTGAAACAGAAACATGATTCTTAATCATTTTTCTCTTTAGACACGTTTTACTGTATTTCATTGCACTTACACTCTGATTTTTTCAACTAATGCGGCATAATGCAATTCCCAGGTGTACATCTTGATCAATCTCATATCAGCAATCATCTCGTTCACCAGATTCAATCTTCTGTCTCCCAATACAGCTGCTTTTAGTCTATTAGGCAATTGTATTTAGATGTACATAAATGCATACTCAATGAAATTATACAAAATTACATACTGAACTTATAACTTATATTAAAAGAAAATCTGATATTAAACAGGTAGATCTTATTTATCACGTACTAAATAGCCTATTACAAGAGTTTCGTTTATGATATTGAAATAATCATAAACGATTAATATATATAATATTTTGTGGATTACAGATTATTTCACGCAATTAAATTTTATACAATGAAAGCAGTACAACTTTTTAAAATAATTTCTAAAAATTTGTTTACTTCGTACTGAACATAAATAGATTTGAATTGTAATTCGTAGTTTGTAGGACACATTACAAAACTTAGAACAAACATTGTAATGGAATGTCTCAAACTCGTAAAATATCTTAAAAATTGCACAACTAATTGTCAAGCAGAAAACATAGCAATGCACGAAACACGTCTTAATATACAAAACTGTTATTGTAACATACATAACAAACTGGCAGTTCAATTTCTTTCTGGAATTTCACTATTGACAATGAAACCGTGGGTTACACAGTCATAAGTTATGTTCTATTTTGAAAATTACCCTCAGCACAAACAGAAGAAATTCTCCAACATCTTATTTGCTGAGAAAAGCTATCACAGTTGTAAATCAAAAATTCTCAAAACGAACGTTTTCAAATCTTCAAACAAAATTTAAATACAAATCATGGAACGTATTAGTAGTAGTGGTTTGACACATACTGATCACAAAATTAATTCCATGAGTAAATTTCAAATAAAAATTTGTTGAATGGAATTATTTCAGATCACAAATCTTAATTTTATTTTAACAATAAGGTTATATTANTTATATATAAAAATCTAAGAAAAAAAAATAATTGCATAATACATAATAAAAGAAATATATGGAACTTCAGATAACATAACTATGAGAATCCATTAAAAAATATATAGTTAATAAATAAAATCGAGAAAAAGTATAAAAACTTTCAATGTAAGGAAATTTCTCTGGCAAAAGTGAGGTAAGCAATCACGTAATGCCTGTTTCCCTACCTTCTGTAACAAAAGTGACGAGGTTGAAATAAATGAAAAAACACCAGTATAAGTAAAAACAAACATTGGAGCATGCCTAAGACAATAAACTTGAACAGAAGCGAAAATGAAACACAACACTTTGTAATTTATGCTAGTTACCTTCTAATATTAAAAATTTTAAATTTTCAATAACTTGTAATGAAATTAAAATTTTTTTACAAATTTCAATTAGAAACATACTACAGAACTGGATTAAAGTAAAAATATCTGCTTTTTGATGCTAAATTTTTATTAATTAAATTTCTAAATTAGTGCTGGACAGTGTTGCTGCAATGAAATTTCAAAACGTACTGAAGCGCCTTGAAAAAATGTACTATTTTCCTTCAAAATGTACTAGTTTTATGAATACTTTGTTTACGTGTCTATATATATATTGGCACGTAATATATATAGTTTATTGTCAAATAATTTAATTTAAAATTAGATTTTTGGAATTTTTTAAAGCTATTTATAAATATCTACACATCTATTAGTTATTATAAAATGAGCATTACATTAACAACATTTATTAATAATCCTATTGAATTTCATCTTAATTTTATAACCAATCGTGCTTTAAAAAATTAATTATATATTTGTTATATTATATTATTATATTCTTGTTTGCTTAAAACATGCGACTCAAAAAAAACCCAAAATGGCGGCTCAAAAAGTAGATCACGCGTCCTGGCCTTCTTATATAGACCTTGGAACAGTCGGAAGCGCGGCCATTTTGGAACCACACGTAACATTAACCGTTATTTCTTTTACTACGATTACTAAAATTGAAGTTCATAATTT